TTTTTGTATCTTTCAAGAAAATTGTCAAAAGCTGAACTGAACTATTTAAATAATGAGAAAGAAGCTTTGGCCATAATATAGACAACAAATAGAGCGTGTCAGCTTTTGATTGGAAAGAAATTCCTACCAAGGTGTGACTAGAGATCTTTAGAGTATTTAATACTAGGAAGGAAATTCCTAAAGTAACATTTTCTAGAATTCTAAGATGGGCCTTAATGTTAATTGCATTTGACTTTGATATTAAGTATATGAAAGGCAATACCATTCCACATGTAGATGCCTTGTCGAGATTGGGGTTCATTACTTCTGAAAGTGAGAAAGAGGAAGAAAAATTCAAAGCTACTTTCTTACCCTGGGCCAAAACTGATATTTCATCAATAGTTCCCACATTGAACAGTATATTGTTCAGGATAAAACAATAAGTGGAATAATTGCTCATGGGAAGAAAGGCATTTTAAAGAGGTTAAACACAAGTTAACCGCAGAAAAGTGTACTTTGTAAATGAAAATATAGTGGTTCCGCCAGAAGCAAAATTATAAAAAACATAAATGGCTATGTTCATTGTGGAAAACAAAGGAGATTAAGGCTAGAGGCATGGTGACTAGGCTATTTTAAAGATGTAGAAGAATGCATAGAAAGGTATAAAATGTGCAATGAAAGAAGAAAATTTAAGCAGACAAAAACATATATATGGCCTAAAGAGTGCCAAGCTTCGGACAGAGTACACATGGATCATGAGCATATTAATAGTGGAATTATTACTAATACTGGTAAATTCATATTCAGGCTGGCCAGAAGTAATACAGGTTTCCAACAAAAGAAGTTCGATCATGAAACATACATTAAGGATCATATTTTCAAGAAATGGAATTCTGAAGATGTTAGTATCTGACAATGCTCCAGAGTTCCATGATGAGAAACTATGGATTAGAAGGATGGTGCAAACTATAAAAAAACAGATTGAAAATATGTGTACAATAGAAAGAAAAGAGAAACATTTCTTTCTAGATTGTTGCTAAGCTACAGGACAATAGCTCATGTTGGAAGATTGAAAAGCCTACTCACCCTCATTGGTAGACAAATAAGAATGCCATTGACCATGTCTTATGCCATCAATGAAAATCTATGGTATAAAAAGAGGCAAAATTCATAATGCAAAGTGGACATGATAATAAAGACAATGGAAATGGGATAATAGCACATCCAGACCAAATTAGATTTCAGCATGATAGCAATGAAGAAATATACAGTGAGTCTGAAAGTAATAAAGGTGAAAATGTCAGGTCAAGGTAAGACGATGTGACACAGATCTCCAGAGGTTGATGAAACAAAAAGAGAAAGAAAGAAAGAATGGTAGAGTGTCTACTAACTGGATGATAATTGTTGAAATTGCAGGAAGATGGATTGAAAAGGTAAGAAAATTAAAAATGAAATGCATTGAAAATTCATGTTTTTGAGATAATTCCAAAGAAAATCAAAACCAAATTTAACTAGATGAAATTCAGTAAGATTGAGAAAACCCAAGACTGTCCATCTTTCCCTCACCTACTACTGATAAGAAAGAAACCATTAGGGTATATACAATGATGTCAATTAAGATAAAAACATATGTTTCAAATTAACCATCCAGAAGAAAAGAACCCACCATGTGTTCGTCATTATAATTTCGGCGACAGAGAAAATTTTATATCCAAACATTAATTCAGATTGCCTTGGATACAAGTGGTAAGAAAAAATTAATTACTATTTTAAAGTGACCATGGACAAAAATTCTGGGTAGTCTATTTGACTGTAAAAAGAATGCATAAGACAGAGAAAAGTTAAACTTTCATTTTAAGGAGAGTGAAAATAGATTTTTTTTCTTTTTCCAATTCTTTAGTCTGGTTGATAGAGAGATCCCCAATATGGAGCATGCTGATAAGAACTAATGACTTCACTGCACCATCTGGAAGCAGGCTGAGGTTGGCTGCTGAGAAAGTAGGATAAGGAAGAAGAAAGGGAGAGAGAGAGAGAGATTAGCACTGCCTATATAGAGCAATGGTATGAGGCAAAGTGTAAAGAGAGTAAGTGTTATGGATTAGCTTGATTCCTCTGACCACTCTCAAAAGGGGGCTGGACAACCCCAAATTTGAAAAACCACTTGAGTAAATGTATTTTTATGTATGGAAATTTAGAAAAGGTTTATACTTAGGGTAGAAGACAGCTGAAACCATACCCTAGTCAACCCTACTCCTGCTGGATGCAGGACTCCATATAAGCTGGAGATTTGGGAGTGGAGTTGAGAGGAGATTGCAGACACAACAAGAGATACAGAGTGGGACACACTGGAATCTGCATCGTTCACTGAAACCTCCTGATCAAAGACCTTGTGCTATACATGAAGACCAGAAATTTAAGTTACTACTAAAACAAGCTGCAGACTCCAAAGTACTATATAATATTATAACAGTAAATGGGAAGGGTTAAAACTGCTGTGTACAACAAATCATCTATAAATCAAATTGTTATATTTTTAACCTCACTTCATTTTTTATTTCAAAGGATTCTTGTTTTTTGTGTAGCTCCCAAATGGTCGAACCATCTTCACTCTAAATTTGCTTCATCAGTGATCTTCTCTCCCTCTGAAATCAAAAACACAACATGGCAGAGGAGTGAATGGTCATGAACAGACAAATGCCAACTAAGTCAAGTGGAACTGTGTCACCAACACAATACCAGTGACAAAATGAGTTCCACAAGTGAAGAATCAGCTAAATGGTAACCATGGCAATCTGAAGGAACTTGACCACAATCTAGAGCCAATGACAAGGGTACATATTTGGTTACCACTGATCAAGGTCAACACCAGGGAGCTGTGTATAACTAGAGAAACTAGAGTGAAATCAAGAGTAACATAGACTCTGAAGATGAACAATCATTTGTGGAACACTCCTATGGAAAAAGATCAAGATCTCCCATATGTAGACAATCTCTTCTGGAAAGGGAGGAAGATAGTGAGGAGACAGCATTCACAGAAGTACCAGGGAAAATAAGGAGATAAAACCTCTTTTGTACAGGGAGATGAGGTGACTCATTTACATATGAAGTCAAAAAGACTATAAATAGCTATGGCTGTTGCCCATGAGGCAGTTGAGTGCATACTACTTCCCTTAGGTCAGTAACACTACTACAGTTATCACTTTCAGATTTGTTTTTCCTAAATGCTTACTGCTAAGATATTTACAGTTTAAACAAAATCACTGATATAACTGAACTTCTCTGCAATAGATGGATTAATATTCATTCAAATTTATGAAATACAAATTTTAAAAGTAAAACTATCAGACCAATTCATGGTTTTGAGAATAAAAATATCAGTCAGATTATAACTATATATGGTCATATCGAGAAGTTCCTAGTTTCTACATATTATAATTCAGCAGCACTATGTTAATTTGTAGCCAGTCTACTGAGACAGTCTGTCGATATGGTTTGTGTTAGTAATACAAAACTTTTTGCAACATTGTTTTGGAACATCTCTCTGATCTTTTATTGGTAAATTCAAGTAATATACCTGCATTAAAGCTCAAAGTTTTTTCATCATTTTTGCTTTTGCTGGATTTTCTTTGGGTTGAACATTGGTTGTTTTCTTTGGGTTGAACACTGGTTGTTTTCTTTGGGTTGAACACTGGTTGTTTTCTTTGGGTTGAACATTGGTTGTTCAGTGACATGCATTTTTCAAGGCTGGTCAATTCAAGATAATTGTTTAGCATGATCAAAACGCTAAATGTGGACAAAATCTGTGAACTCCTGAGAATATCACTAAACAATCTTATTAGCTATCTTATATGGAGTCTGCCAGATCTGGGCCTGAAAACTTTCAAGGTACTTTATCAGACAAAAATTATGAAAGACAAATTATTGTAATGATATTGACTTTAAAAAATACAAAATATAGTTTATAACTTTACTATAACATTTTAAATTATTTTAATGATTTAAATGATACAAAAATTGATATTTGGATAGTATTTCTTCCAATTTGACTTTTTTTTATATTATAACTTAGATTATAATTTCATATTATTTTCAATTCATGCTGTTTATTAACAATCAGAGAATGTATACCTGAGAATTGCAATAAAAAGCACTTTAATTTAAGATGAAAGAAATACAAGTTAAATATTAAATTTTGTCAATGCTTCATTTAAGAAACTGAAATAATATTACAATTAATACTCAGTTATGTGCCATGCATGATACGCACTTAGGCGATCATGTATCTTTCGATACATGACTGACGAGGCAGATTTTTTTTTGTTGCCATTTCTTTTTTGTGGTAGACCAGTTGTCATCCAACACTATAGAACCCAGTCTGTCCTGCTATTTACCCATAGCTAGGGGAGAAGATTTGTACCTTTCCCAATGGTATGAACATGTAAGTGAATGTAATGGATTCAACTGGAATTTGAACTCGATTCTCCAATTCCTCAATCCGAGCCGCTATATATTACTCCACCAGGCCTACTAGATTAAAAATATGGTAAAGAGAGTAATGACGTATGTTAGATCTGAATTACTCTAACTTATTAGCATTCAGATCCCAAAAATAATTAAAAATAATAAATACTAATTGAAAAATTACTAATAATTGCCAGTATTTAATATATTGAATATTGGGGCTGATAACTTTCAACCAAAACCAAACCTGACCAAATGACCTAACATCAAAATTTTTTAATCTCTTGAGTGAAGGGATTTTCAGCACCTTCTTGTACAGACTTGTTTTATTAGCAAAAAATAACTTCAATAACAATTTACTAGTGTTCAAATCTATTCATTTTTCAGAGTTAAAATTTTACTGGAGACATATCTTTTATTTTATTTTTTTTCTAAAAAGTAGTTACTTCACAACAGCAAATAAATCCTACATCCTGATTTGATGAAATCAATTCACTTACAAGAAACTTATAAAAACACAATTCTTTTTGTAAACTGAATTTGTTTTCTCTTGTTTTCAGACTTCCGGATAGATCATGAAGACTTGGATAAACTGTCTGATGTGAAAATGCTTGTATCTCAACTGTACAGTGCACTAAACATTGAACAATACCAGTTAGAAAGGGAAAGTCAACTCCTACAGAGGTTAGAAGATCTGAAAGTTCAATTGGAACCATTAGAAAAGGTAAATATGTTATTTTCCTATTTATTGGCAATCTTTTTCAAAAGTCCACAACTCTCAGACATAATTTTATATATATATATATATATATATATATATATATATATATATATATATATATATATATATAGCAGCATGGCCCGGCATTACCCATGCTTGATTCAAAAATCGTACAACTCATACAGCAATTGCTATCACTTAAAATATTTTTGCCCTTCCTTGCCTTTAAATGAGTGCCCCTTGCCGTGCTGATGTTGCTAAATGCCTTACTTCTTGCCTATCTCACACTGCGAATTTTTTCTAAGCTCTATACTAAACATTAAATCTGTTACGAAAAAAGAACTAAACAAAATGAACACAAAACAAGCAGCTTTAAAAAAGGACTCGTAACTGGAAAAACCGAATGAAAAAAGAATGTTAAAAACAAATACTTTTTCACACCCAACCCAGTTCTGCAGAATCAGAATCAACGTTGAGTGAATGAGTCAATTGGAGTAAAGTGCCATGCAGATTTAAATTTTTCCCACTTGTGACGAATGCAGCTATCGATTTTTTTTGCATGCTAGTTAACATTCGTGTCAGTCAGCTGTTGGCTGTCACGCTGGCTAATAGAATCTTCCTGCCTATTCGTGGCAGCCAGCTATAGGCTCTCACTCTGGCCAGTAGAAAATGGCCGCAAACTACATGAAAATTGCCATAGAAGCATGAAAAAATCAATTATTTCCACTATCGATGGGAGTTGGAAAATGCAAAGTCAGTGTTGGCCTTCCTGCTAACTTTGTGCATGTAAATTTTGGTGCAAATCTGTCGAAAATTGCGGCCGTGCATTCGCTATATATACACACACACACACACACATATCCTGCCTTTTATTATATATATATATATATATATATATATATATATATATATAGTGCTCAATATTAAAAATATTAAAATAATATTAAAAATAGAGCATTAATAGTATTATATGAAAAGATAACTTAACTTTTAAATAGCAATTTTATCCCGGCATCAGTGTTTCTTGGTAAAATTTCCAGTCTTCAGGGGTTGTGGTTTTAGACGTATTTCTAATTTTTTTTTTTTTTTTTCCAACTGGAAAAAATTGGGAACACCATTTCAAACCACAATCCCTAAAAACTGAAACTATAAATTTTATTATTAATAATATTACTAATGCTCCCTTTTAATATTATTTTAATATGTTTAATATTAAGCCCTATATATATATATATATATATATATATATTATTCGAACTATTGTCCTCATCTTTGTTGCCATATTTATTATAAATAAATAATGGCAACAAAGATGAGGACAATAGTCAAATAATGTACATAATACCTCATCTCAGAAACATAGACAGACCCTATATATATATATATATATATATATATATATATATATATATATATATATATATATCTGCTGTTTCTTAAATTTTAAATCTACATAAATACATATATGTAATTTTATCCAATTTTATTTATCTTTTACCTTTTAAAAGGTAAATAAATTATTACTTTTTACCTTGTAAATTATGCTTGCTAATCTCAAAATTGGAAAAGCCATCATTTTTTATGTTATTGTTTTATAATTTTATATTTTTATTCCATTTTTGGTATTCTTAATTACTTTTTATTTTCATTTTTTTGTATATTTTTATTAAAAAATATACAACTGTTTCAAATTCTTACCATATGTACAAGTCTTACCATATGTACAAATCTGTGTTCAATTGTTTGTATAATAAATAACATATCTGCATAGTTACATATCATCCAGAGGAGTGATATAATGAAACTGGGCATGGCTGATCATATATAGATGGAAAAGGGTGATTACCAGCTCCTGTAGAATGAAGTAAAAATACTAGACAGAATTCAAGAGAATCATGTGTCTGAAGGTATCAGCACATATACTAGGTTGTGGTGGTATTCTCAGTAGGTTTAGCATAATATAATATGGGAACTATCATTTTCTTTAGCCAAATTCACCCTAAGCAAGGCAGTACAGCCACTAATACAAAGGGGTTGTTAGGTGTGAAAGAAAGCAGAAACATTACTAAGGAACAAGAACAATAGAAGAGTGATCAGGAAGACAGTAGACAATGATTGACATTGCATTTAAATTTTTGCTGGAAAGCATGGAGCCGGATGAGTGTTCCACAAGTAAGAAGTGCAAGAAAAGTAACTGTTAGCATAGAACTTAGTTACATATAGCCAATTCAACTGTAAATTGATGAGACCTTGTTTCCAATCTAGTACTGCACTTAAATTCTTAAAGTCTAGGTACCATAGTGAAGAGTTCATCCAAACAATTACCATGAAATTATTCACAGAGAGGCACAGGAAGCAACCTGTCTGCAGTGGAAACGTGACTGAAACCAAGACACTAGGTCAGGACCAATAAAATTGCTGATTCTTCTTTGAATTTTATCAAGAATCTTTAAATATATAGCAGGATAACTGGACTATATGTGTTAGCAATATTCTAAGCATGAATAGACATATAAATATGTAAGATAGATTCTGGAGAGAAAAATTGTCTATCATGACACAGTGAACAAACTTTCTTAGCAGACGAAACTGGCAATGGATTCAATATAGTCTTTCCACTTTATATCAGCTGAGAATGTTAGGCCAAGAAAATGCAATGAGTCACTCTCATGAAGGTTAGCATTAGCTATGCTGATTGTTATTTTTTTTAGATCAACCACCTGTTTTGATCTTATCAAACTGATCAGACTTACTATTAAGACAGGAGTAAATAAAGTGTATCATTAGCATAGATACCAAGGTGATGCTATTAGGAAGGTCGTTAATGAAAATTAAGAACAAAATAGGACCATGGGTAGAATCCTGGGGGACACACCTGCATGAGTACAAAATGATCTAGAACTGAGCCTAAATTGTTTCAAAAATTTGTCTAAAGTCACCATAACTCTTCAAAAGAAAACCAGTATGCCAGGCCCTGTTGAATGCTTTCAAGATGTCCAAAGACACAGTTTCACTATTCTTATCTACTAAAGATTGATACTCTTTCTGCAATAATCATTAATATATCAGCAGTTGACCTAGAGAGAAAAAAAAGCCATAGTGCTTGTCTAAAAGAAGACCCTGTGGTGTGAGATGCTTAACTAATTCAGCATTGATTAAGGCCTCTAGTGGTTTACCAAAAAGAGGTAGAAGGCTAATAGGCCAATAGTTGGAAGGATTGGATGGTTCATCTTTCTTAAAGACTGGAACAACAGATTAGGATTTTCAACATGCAGGAAAGCAAGAGTCAGTAAGGCATTTATTATTACTAGTTTAGAGAAAACAGGAGATAGTTTGGGAGCACATTTCTTAAGGACTATTACAGGGATACCATTAGGTCCACATGCTTTGTGGGGATCTAGATTACAGATGATAGCAGAAACCATGGAAGCTGTTATATATATATATATATATATATATATATATATATATCACTCAACAGAGAATCAGTTCTAAGCAGGAAGTCAGGCAAGGATACTACAGATGAGTCAAGAGTAGAATTTGAGAATAATTTACAGGCAAAACATTCTGCTTTATCAGCAAAAATTTTGAAAATTTTCTTCTAATTTATTTTTACAAAATTACAACTTTGTTCTTACTAGCTGAATTACCTGCACCTTGCTGTGTGTCACACATTTTTTTTGTAAGAAAATGATGAACAGTTTTAAATCATTGTTATAATTTGTGGAGAAAAATGATGCATTTCAGTATTACTTAATGATTTTGCCGATGTGACCTCCATCTTCTGGCTTTCTCCTTCTATATTTTGGATAGGAGTTCGATAAGAAACAGACAGAGGCTACAACTATATATATATATATATATATATATATATATATGCATATATGCATGTTTCAGTTAAAATAAGTTTCAATTTATTATTAATTGACATATAATGGAGGAACTAATTAGGAAAATAAAAATTCCAAACAAAAACATCTTTAATAAAAAGCAAGAATTCTTTTAGTTGAAGAAACATAAAAGCTTTTAGTAAAAACAAAATTAAAATTACTTTAGAGTTTGAAAAACAAACTTAAGGAAGAAAAGACTTCATTTCTTGAAGATTCTGCCTTAATTTCATTTCTTAATTCCCTGCAAAAAACACCTTTTCATATTTTTCACACTCTTTGACAATGCATGGAGAACTAATGCATTATATTACTTAACTAATTTTGTTTTTGTTATAGGCATTATTTAATGAACTGAGGAACTTGCTTCAAGTCAAATTGTATATACCTGCAAATAAAAACAAATTTTAAAAACATATGTAAGAAAATCATTTTTATATTAGATTTTCACCATTTCTTTTTAATGATAAAAATTCTATGAAACTTAATGAAGATTTTGTAATTGAATATTTGTCAGTTCCTATCAAATTCACAACATGTTCCATCTATTTGTTATCCAATTTCTGTAAATTTCTGGCAACAGAAATCCTTAAACTAATTTTTAAATTCAGTTTTTAAATTAAATTTTTGTAAAGTCTTTTCATATAATTATAGCTTTATTGTTTAACATTTAATTTTTTTCTGCAAGGACAATTACTACAATAATTAGATTAAAAAAAAAAAAAATTAAGTGTATATATTCAACACTGGGATTACCTTTTAATGCTATACTAGTTGTGGCATAAATATTTACCCATTATTTAAACATAAATTCAAATATACCTGTTCATAAAAATAATTTCAAATGTTGCATAAGGCTTCCTAACATTCTTTTTATTTAGTGTTTACAGTCTAATTAAATATGGTGGTTCAAACAAAATGATCAATTTGTTCAATTGAAAATGGCTGAAGAACTGCAAAGTGATAATAAAGTTGAATGTTTGCAGAAAAACTTTTTACTGTGTGGAAAATGTTTCAAGACAAGCAAACATACCACGAAATCTAATTCCAGGAAGAAGCCATTAAATTTGTACCTGGAGTATCATTGAAGCCATCAAGAAGAAAGGGAAGAGAAAT